AGGAGAAAGAAGTGACATAAATGGGCATGAAGGAGAGAGGGGAAGACAGGGAAAGTTGATAGGGAGTAAAGGGAAGGAGATAAGGTAAAGGAAGAAGGAGAACGGTATAGAAAGGGAGGTAGGAGCAAAACGGGAAAGTATGGTCAGAAGAGAGAGAAGGGAACACCCTTCGCCCAGCGGCACGCACACACACCGCACGGGGCCTTCAACGCCTTCGGACGTGGAGTCGCGAGGGTTACCTGGCCTTACATGGAGCTCCACTTACGCGGTACACCTGCAGGCGGCCGCCGGAGGCGGCCTTGGGCCGGCGCCCGCCGCAGAGCGGCGCTGCACCGTCGTCCCCATCCACCAGGCCACGGAGGGGATGGCGTCCGAGCTCATCATGATGTGAACGCCGCTCTGAAGGGGTGATGTGCGCTTTCAGGCCGCTCGTCTGTCACCTCCGCATAACCTACCGCGTAGGTGGGCGAGCCGCAGCGTGGACGAGGCGATCGAGACGCTGGCAAGCCCGGACGTGACCGTCACCAACCAGTCCGACAAGGAGCTGCAGCTGTACAAGCTGCGAGAGCTCGATTCGCTGGTACAGGAAGCCGTGGCGCAGTGCGAGAGCGAGGCAGCCGACCCCGCGTTGGTCGAGATTGCACCAGCGCCGGACCGCGGCTCCAATAGCATCTTTGAGCGGGCCGAGTGAGTCGCGTTGTGTGTCAATCAACGTTGTGTGTTCCAGAGGCGGCCGCACGTCTACGGCCACTTCTTCTCAACAAACAAAACTCTCCCTCTCTTCTTCTCTCTCTCTTCTTCTCACCGCAGAGTGCGAAGCCCAGGCGCTCGCTGTACGCGCCATTGCTGGGGCGACGAAGAGATGCGCGGGGAGAAGGGAGAGCGACGAGGAATGGGAGGCGATGGAGCAACTGCTAGCTGGACGACTACCCGAGCCGAGTGTGATGGACCAGGACCCGCCAGAAGACATCATGAGGGAGTATGACACACGGGTGGTGACTTCACTCAAGGCACTGCAGCAGACGGCGGCATCAATAATCAAAGTACGGGAAGGGAAGAGGAAGGGACTCGAGGCGGAGAGGAAGGAACGAGTAGCCGCGGAAACAGAACGCCTGAGAGAGGGACAGAAGGAAAGGAAGGAGAGGATACGAGAAATGGAGTGGGCGGCGAATGCGTGTATTTGCTGGCGACGGAGGCGACATCGACAACGTGATGCCGAGGAGAAGGAAAGGGAAGAGGCAGAGAGACGCCTCGAAGCGGGGAGAGGCAGAACGACGAGAGCGATGGGGATGACACTCAAAACGACCCACTGCGAGCTCGAAGGCGAAGGCCAGCGCAGGAAACGCGGTGAGAGGAACGACGATGCGGCGAGCGCCGGAGGGAAGCGACGACAGCGAGGGGACGAGGACGGCGAGCAGAGAGGAGAACAGACGGCGAGCGGCGCACGCGAGGGCGACCACGCAGGAGAAAACAGACGGGACGAGGGGAAGGAAACGCGGCCCGCCAGGAAGCGAAGGCAGACGGCAAGATACGTCGCCGGACCAGCGACAGGAAGCGCGAGGTTGCAGCGCTGATGCGGCAGGTCGCCTCGGGACTTGCGTACATGCACACGCTCAACCTGCAGCACCGCGACCTCAAGCCAGCCAACGTGATGCTCGACTCGACGGGCCGCGCAAAGATTATCGACTTTGGGCTCGCTTGCGTCTCTTCAGCCTCCCGTTGCTCGCGCACCAAGACCAAGGTGGGCACCGACGCCTACATGTCGCCCGAAAAGGCCATTGGCAAGCGGTACGGGCCGGCGGATGACGTTTGGGCGGTCGGGTGCATCCTCGCGGAGCTGCTGCTCGGCCGCACGATATCGGCTACGTGGCGCTCGACGCGGCAAAGTGGCAGCGCGCGATCGCCGAGGGCAAGTCCGCGAGCGAGCAGCTCGGCTCGTGGGTCGAAGGCTGTCTGCAGGAGATCCCAGGGCGGCGCCCGGCGGCGGCCTTGCTGGAGCAGGGGCTGGCGTCGGGTGGCCCCGGTGCGCACGAGGCGGAAGAGCGCTCGCGGCGGGAGGCAGCGGCGGCTGCAGCAGCAGCAGATGAGGCGGAGGAGGAGCGGAGCCGAGCGGCGTCACGCCGCGCCAGCGCAGAAAAGTATTTTTCGGCGCAAACCCTCCGCCTACTCGGCTACTGATGCAGGCTGCCTCCCTCCCTGGTGGCATGTTTTATTTCTTTATTTTAGGCTGCTGGTGCAGTCTGCAGCTCCCCCGCCCTGGATGTGAGGTTAATGACCGCACTGCCAGTCGCACTGCGCACTCCAAGTGCTCCCTCCGGGAATGCCCCCAAGGGTCCCGATTCCCCCCTTGCCCAAAGCTTTCGATGCCTGTGATGAGGAACGGGCGTACACTGGCAACTTCCCCGCTGCCTTTAGAGCATGATGCCGGCTCGAGACATGGCGGGAATCGTCTTATTGGTGTCGACGGCGTTCGCGGCGAAGCTTGTGAGATGCGTCGCGGTGTCCGCATAGAGGTACCGAGAGTATACGGGGCCGCAGCCGCCATCGCTGCTGGGTGAGGTCGCCAGTGTGCACCCGCGCGCGATGGCCTCCGCCGCCGTGCAGTCCTTTAGGCCTATGTAGGAGCGATTCCGGGGCAGGTTCAAGCAGGTGTGATTTCCGCCGATGTGCCGGTTCTCCATTTCCTCCGGCGGAGAGCAGGTTGGTGCCAGTCACGCCGGGGCAGGTGCCAACGTCTTGGCTGCCAACGAAGCCGTACGCGCCGGGCTGCGCTGCGGCGTCCTTGTGGCGGAAGAGGGCCCAGGTGAGGCGGAGGGGATAGGCAGAGAGGTGGCGAGGGGGCCAGTGAGGCGTCCTGCATGAAGCCAAAGTAGTCGATGATGGAGCAGCCAGCGAGCTGCTCGCACGCAGTGCCCAGCACACTGTTGTAATGCTCGACCTGCGCGTCGAACGAGCGAAGATGCGCCTCCCTCTCCTCCCGTGTGGCGTCGGTGCTCATGCTCGCCGTGATGGTCGCCCGTGTGGCGGCACCGCGGGTGAGACCGAAGGGGACGTTGTAGACAAAGGCCTGTGCTCCTCGAGACGTCACATGCGTCTCCACCGTCTCGATGAGCGAGCGAGTTAGTGAGACGGGTCAGTGACTGGCGCAACCATTTCGATGGAGCGGGCACCGTAGCCGTACTGGAGGTCGTTGATTCCTCCGTTGACCAGGACAATTTCGCCTGCCATGAACGGGCCGGAAAAGGCGATCTTGTCCGCAAACTGCTCGGGGATGCACGTCGTTGCGCGAGGCGAGGTGTAAGAGCAATTCACGAGCGCGCCAGCGCCAGCAAAGGCGTTGGCCTCGGCGCGGCTCGCATGAGCACGCAGGTGCGTCCCAGTCGAGGCGTTGATGTGGTAGAAGTTGAGGAGCCGCTCGCCGAGCAGCCGTCCGATGAGCGTTCCGAGCGTATCCGGGCCACAGGTGGGGTTGTCGTTGCCCTGGCACCCGCCGCCGGGCAGGCTGGTCTGCATGGTCGGCTTGAAGCCGAAGGTACCCTCGTCAAGCTGGCTGTCGCCGAGGATCCAGAGACGGCCTCGGCCGCTGGGCGATGAGGCGAAGCCCTCCACTCCGCTCGACAGGAGCACGGCGAGCAGAGTACGCGCCCGCGTATGCATGTATGTCGATAGCGTGTAGGGAACACAAAGAGAAGGAGGACTGCGGGCGCCACGCCCGCGCCCCCAAGCCAGTTAGTCGATGTAGCCGGACGCCGCCTTTCATCAAGCGTGCCGCAGCAGCCGCAAGAAGGACGGGCAGCAATATCTCACCCCTCCGAAATCGCGCGTCTGCACATCACCCGCGCTGCGCCGAAAGCTAGAACAGCTGCCCGCTCTCTTGATGCGCCGCGCTGTGCCCTGTGCTGACGCTCCATTCAAAAAGACCCTTGGTTACTTCATTCATTCCGGCGTACCCGTGTTAGTGCCAGTTTGTGCGCGCCAGTCCCGACCCAGGTTCGAGCCTGCGCCAAAGCTGGCCTATCTCGCCCTGTTTGCAGCCTCGTGGTCGCCAACACCGATGCTGCACGACGTGCCACGCGCCGGCGTGCCTGCCTCGAGTTGCACGTGCTGCGAGTTCCAGAACCATGATGGGGCGAAGATAAGACAACCCTGCTACTATATTTCTTTGAATAATCCCTGCACGTGCGCCGATTCCGGTTGGGGCTGGTATTGCGTGGACCAACTGGTTCCGCATAACACGTGCCCCTACTACTAGCACGATGGCAGGCCGGCGGGCGCTGGTGGCAGACGAAGAGAGGCGGAGGTGGTGAGGCCGCCGGGCACCTGGTTGCTCTCCTCCGCCAGCGGACTCGGGGCCCGGTGCTTCGACGCAGTACAGTGTACTTCGTGGTAGTATGAACTCAGAACGGCCCCCCGAGAGCGCCTCTTCGACGGGTTCCGGGGGGTCGGAGGGGTTGCGAGAGGGTGCCGGCTTTTTGTTTGAATCCCGGAGGGCGGAGGAGGACAGGGTCCCCACCTGCACGAGCAGGATTTTGGAAGGACGATCAGGGACACAGGGGATGCAAGTGTGCTCTCCACAAAAGACAGAGGAGGTCAGAGCCCAAGGGAGGGAGCCCAGGCGCCAGGGACCTGCCCACGAGCCACGTGCCGCCACCACACACGGGAGGGTTTTGTTCCTAATTCACAATTTCGCTCTCGGGTTTTTCTTCCCCTTGTACGGCTATTCAAGGGCACAAACAACAGCAGAAACGAGACAAACAGGCGACAGGCCACACGCAACCGTTAAGGCTAGAGCAGTGGCCAGTGCATGCAGCAGTCTGCTCCGCCCGCCTCTCTCTAGCTAGCAAACTAACTCGCCGGCCGCAAGCAAGGCACGGACGAGAGCATGTGTCACCTTGGCTGCTCAGCCGAGGTAGGTACGCCCTTCTCACAGCCCCGGTGCCCATGCCTCGACCTTCTTGGGCAGCGGCTGGTTCGACAGGTCCTCTCCGTGGCCCAAACAGCAAAAGTCGCCCTCGCCCCAGCTCCAGACGGCGCCGTCGGCGGCGCGAGCGAGGCTGTGGTCGGATCCAGCCGACACAGCGACGACGCGCTGGCCAGCAAAGGCCTCGACCTTCTTCGGCAGCAGCTGGAGCTGCTGGTCGCCGTGGCCCAGCTTGCCCTTGCCTCCACCGCCCCAGCTCCAGACGGCGCCGTCGGCGGTGAGGGCGAGGCTGTGCTCTTTCCCTGCCGAGACAGCGACGACGCGCCGGCCAGCAAAGGCCTCGACCTTCTTGGGCAGCAGCTGGCGCTGCTGCTGGTCGCCGTGGCCCAACTGGCCAAAGAGTCCCTGGCCCCAGCTCCAGAGGGCGCCGTCGGCGGTGAGGGCGAGGCTGTGGCGGGCTGCAGCCGACACAGCGACGACGCGCTGGCCAGCAAAGGCCTCGACCTTCTTGGGCAGGAACTGGGCCTGCTGGTCGCCGTGGCCCAAGCTGCCAAAGTAGCCCAAGCCCCAATTCCAAACGGCGCCGTCGGCGGTGAGGGCGAGGCTGTGGTAATCTCCAGCCGACACAGCGACGACGCGCTGTCCAGCCAAGGCCTCGATCTTCTTCGGCAGCGGCTGATTCTGCTGGTCGCCGTGGCCCAAGCAGCCGTTCCCTCCCCAACCCCAGCTCCAGACGCTGCCATCGGCGGTGAGGGCGAGACTGTGGGCGGATCCAGCCGACACAGCGACGACGCGCTGGCCAGCGAAGGCCTCGATCTTCTTCGGCAGCAGCTGGCGCTGCTGGTCGCCGTGGCCCAAGCGACCACAGCTGCCCTCACCCCAGCTCCCGACGGCGCCGTCGGCGGTGACGGCGAGGCTGTGGCCAGCTCCAGCCGCCACGCTCACGGCGCGCTCGTCACCCAGCGTGGACGGGAGGCGGGTCGGCGTGTTGAGCTGCGTCACGCCCTCGCTGTGGCCGAGGAGGCCTGGGTAGCCCCCCTCCGAGCCGCACGACGACAGCCGCCCCTCGCCGTCGATGAAGAGGCTGTGGGAGGAGCCCGCCGCCGCCCTCGCCGGCCGGTCGGACTCGCACAGCAACGCCGCAAAGCACAGCCACCGCACGGCGCAGTCCTCGCCCTCTGGCTTCGCCGGCAGCTCGAAGCCGCGCTCTTGCGCCCACAAGCGGATGCACTGCTCCGCGAGCGAGCGAGGCGTGAAAGAGGAGCGACACGGCCGCGACGCGAGCGATGTCGAGGGGGCTGTCGCAGCGGGAGAGGACGCGCTCGAGGAGCTCCCTGGGTAGGTCGAGCAGGCGGGCGGGCGGCGGCGCGTCTGGCGTGGGCGCGGCGGCGGCGGAGGACGCGAGGCGGCGCGAGCTGCGGCGCGGTGGGGTGGACATGGTGAAAAAAGAAAAAATTCCCGCTGCAAACCTTGACTCTCTCACACAGGCTCGAATATAAAGAATTCAGACTCTTAGGTGGTCGGCAGCGCCGCCGGGACACGTCACAGGCCAGCGACCACTCGGAAGCGGGAGGCCGACGCCGGGTGGCACGTCGACGAGCGGTGGCAGGTGGCGGTCGCCGCTGTGCAGCACGCGCGGAGGCGAGAGGGCAGTGCTGGCGAAATGGAGGCAGAGCATCCGGGCGTGCGACTTGGAAGGCGGTGATAGACGGTGGCCAGCGCCCCCAAGGCCAAGCGGCGGGCGTGTTTTCTTTCTTCGCGGCTTGTAAATTGGAGAGCCTCTCCTATCGCTAACCCTAACCCTAACCCTAGGAACCCTAACCCTAGGAGTTTCTGTATCGTGCAAACATGCTACTTGCACGCCCATCTGAGCTACCTCTTAAGCGGGGTGATGCGCGAGCTCGCCGCGAGCGCCGCGGCGAGGCCCGCGGCCGCGCCGCGCGGATGGCTCGGCGGCGACTGCGCCTCATGCTCTGAGAAGAACCACGCGGGATTGCCGAGCACGCTGTGGAGGCTCGCGAGGTAGCCGAGGACTTGCCCTCTAGACATCCAGTGGAGATTCATCCCGAAGTTCTTCGTCCCCGGCGCGACCCGTGTCTCGTGAATCCACCACGGCGGAACGAAGAGAACGTCTCCCCGGCGCTGCGTGACCTCGAGGCGCGGCGCAGCGGATTTCTCGCGGAGCATCATCTCCGCGTTGCCCGACCAGCGGTGCTCAAAGTGGCCGAAAAACTGGGGCGCCACGAGCGTCCACCGCTTCTCTTCCTGGAGGCAGAAGCTGAGGAAGCGGTCCATATGCGCATGGAGGTAGTAGACGGCCGTCCGTCCCGCGTGGAAGAAATGGGTTACCACGGGTGCCGTCATGCGATCGACGGACAAGGCCTCAGGCACGGCCATCGTCGCGTGAAGCGTCTCGTCGAGGCGTTTCCGCTCCGAAGCCGTGGCCATGCGCGTGTGCACCTCGAAGTAGTTCCCGTCGCGGTCGATGTCGTGTCCGTCGAACGACGCGATCTTCTCTCGCAGCGTCGACGGGCTACACGGAACCTGCTCGATTATCTGCTTGCTCTTGTTGTCAGCGCCCACGAACTCAAAGTGGCGTTGGATCTTGCCGTTGCACGGAGCGAACAGGTTCTGGGCCTCTTCGGGGAAGTAACCGACGTCCGTAAGTCCCACGCCGTCCGGAATGCAGCCTTCGAAGAGGATCGGCCGGTCCGCGTCGAACGCGCGGTCCATCTGATCGCATGGGAGCTTGAGCAGCGACGGCGACGGCGCGCCGCGCACAGCGTGCCAGAGGTCGAGGCTGCACGGCATACCGCCGAAGAATGTCAGGTCGGCCGCATTCTCGAACGTGACGAGGCGCGCGCACGCGATGGCAGCGCAGACGGTTGCGAGCACTAGCTGCGAAGGCTTCATTGACGTGCTGCTTGCTTGCGCTGTCCTGGATGTTCCAGGGTCCGGCCCCCCCGGCCGGCCACCGCCGACACCTCGCGAGGGGTTGCCGGAAAGTCGATAGGGCTCTCTCAACACTCGAGGACGCCGCAGCCAGCCGCAGAGTCTCCAGCTCCGCCTTCAGTCATAGCCTTGGTGCTTTAGGAACAACTACACCGCGGATCCACACATACACGATACCCGCGATGTCAGCCGTATAAGTACCGTAGCGGATCGAGCTAGACCGTTCCCGGCATCGTGGTCCAAGTACGCGGCCGCGCGCAATGCGCAACGAGTAGATGCTTTTTCATTCACCACACGCGTAGATAAGGCGGGAGACGAAATCGTGCGTGTGCGAGGAGGTTGTAAGTTTCTTTTTCGGTGTCGTACCTGTGTCGCTTAGGCGGGTGTGCCTGTGATAGTGCTAGCACGCGCCAGTTCGCACCAGTGTCGAGCCTGTCTGCTGTGAGAGAGAGTTGTTTTGTTTAAATTCTTCGAGATCAAAATTCTTTTTCGTGGTGTACCTGTGTTAGTGCCAGTGCGAGCCAGTCCCGTGCCCAGTGTTGTGCGAGGGAGCTTCGTTGTAAAATTCTTTTTCGATCAGGAGGACGTACGACTCAATCCATTGCAACCCCAATGCCCAGCAAAGCGAAACGGAAGGGGCAGACGAGCCGCACGCTTGCCGACGAGGGTCTCCTCCGGGGCGTTAAGGACCCGCCTGCGTGGTTTGCCGAGCAGCGGCCACTTCACCAGTTCGGGGACGCCTTCCGGCTGTACGGGCTCCCCAGCCCTCGGGCAGCGCAGGTCCTCGGCATTCTGGGTGCCAATGGATGCGGCAAGTCCACTGTACTCTCCATCTTCTCGGGCAGCCTTCAGCCCAACCTTGGTGCATCGGCGCCGCCCAAGGACTGGGTCCGTGCGGCGCCGGTGCGCACTGGAATCAGGTCGCTGCTCGCCAGCCAACCGCGCGTTGCGTCCAAGCCGCAGTACGTCGAGGAGGTGGCCGCCAAGTACGCGGGCCGCCATGTCGGCTCGGTGTTGGAGCAGGAGGACACGCGCGCAGCCGGCGCGGTTGTTGTGGAGCAACTGGAGCTCGCTCACTTGTGGGAGAGGACGGTGGATACACTCTCCGGCGGCGAGCTGCAGCGCTTTTCGATTGCGCTTGTCTGCGTGCAGACCGCAGACCTGTATATCGTTGACGAGCCCTCCTCCTTTCTCGACGTTCGGCAGCGGTTGCGAGCGGCGCGCGCGCTGCTCGATCTGCGCGCCGGCGCGTGGACCGGAACGCCCAGCTTTCTTCAGCCACAAAAACATCGAGTGGCTTTATCCAGGCGACCGCTACGTCCTCGTGGTCGAACACGACCTCGCGGTGCTCGACTACCTCGCGGACATGGTCGTACTCGTGGTTGGAGCGCCCAATCAGTACGGGATGGTGAGCGTGAGGCAGGGTCGGATCGGGAGAGCTCGGAGATCAGCTTAGCACGTTGCGCCTGCCCCACCCGGCTTAGGTGTCCTTGCCCTACCGCACGGGCGTCGGCATCAACATGTTTCTGCGTGGTGCCGTCCCTCGCGTCACCAGTGCAGGTGAGCTCCCGTTCCGCGAGACAGTCCTCGACTTTGGAGCCAGGTGACTTCTGCCTTTCACCGCGTCTCTCCCTTGGCTTTGCCTCACGCCGCCCCTCCCCCCTCTCCCAGGGCGCCGCCACAGGTCGGGCCGTGCTGGCACTACCCGGCGGCAGTGATCACCCGGCCGGGCGCCTTCCGGCTGCAGGTTGCGGCGGGGGCGTTCAACGCGGGTGAGATTGTGGTGCTGCTCGGCGAGAACGGCACGGGCAAGACCACGTTCATGAAGCTGCTGTGTGGGGAGGTCGACCCGGATGGCGGGAAGGGGGTCTTTGAGCGCCGCCGCGTGGCGTACAAGGCGCAGGATCCGGCGGATCTCCGCGCGCGGCACGCGGGTACGGTGCAGGAGGCGCTGGCAAGCGCCGCTGCGGGCGAGTTGCCGCCGGCGGAGGAGCTCGAGCTCGTGGCGACACTGCTTGAGCGGCCAGTCTCGTCGCTCAGCGGCGGAGAGCTGCAGCGGCTGGCGATCGTGCTCGCCCTTTCCGTGGATGCCGAGGTCGTCCTGATGGACGAGCCCTCCGCGTATCTCGATGCCGAGCAACGCATCGCCACTTGCCAGGCCATCCGACGCTGCATCTCGCGGACGGGCCGAACGGCGCTCGTGGTGGAGCACGACTTTATGATGGCCAACTACCTCGCCGACCGCGTGGTGGTCTTCTCGGGCGAGCCGGGGCGCTCCTGCGCCCTGTCCGCGCCGCTGCCGGTGGAGGAGGGTATGAACTCGTTCCTGGCGCACGTGGGCGTGACCTTCCGCTGCGATCACGACAGCGGACGGCCGCGGGTGAACAAGCCGCAGAGCGCCAAGGACCGGGCGCAGACGCGGGCCGGGACCTACTACGTGCTTAACGCGGTGGGCGAAGATTAGTATGAGTTAACCTAGAGGGACTTCGTTCGCACCTGCCAACACAGCGATCACGCGCCGCCCCGCCAAGGCCTCAATCTTCTTGGGTAGCAGCTGGTTCTGCTCGTCGCCGTGGCCCAGCTGGAATTGAGAAAACTCTGGCCAACTGGGCGCGCTTCTTAGCTCCTCGGTCCTGCGCGTGCGGTTGCCGACTGCACTCCAAGTGCTCCAAGAGTGCTCGAGGTGCAGCTGCAGGTCTGCTGGTTTTCACGTTCAGGTGGTGAAGTCTTTAGTCAAATGTCAAGATCGCCCCAAAACTTTCCTTTAGGCAAAACAAGTGTGTGCTCACATAGATCAAGATCAGATCTGCGACACGCCCAAGGTTGCCCCGCGCCTGTCCTGTGTACAGGCGCGGGATGTATCATCCCGCCGTCCCGCCGTCCCTTCTGCCTCGTCATCACCAACGCAAGCCCTTCTGCCTCGTCATCACCAAAAGATCTCACGCAGCCTCGACTTTCCCCTCCCCCTCCTCCCCCTCCTCGTCATAGTCCTCCTCGTCCTCCTCGCCCGCGTCCTCCTCCCCCGCCTGCGCGCGGGGAGAGAGGGGGTCATCGCGGCAAAGCAGGCTGACGGCAGAAGACACGCACCTCCGCCTCATAGTCCTCCTCCTCCTCCTCCTCGTCCTCGTCCTCGTCCTCCTCGTCCTCCTCCTCCCCCCCTGCCTCCTCCTCCTCCTCCCCTGCCTCCTCCTCCTCCTCCTCCTCCTCCTCCGCCGCCGCCGCCTCCACCTCCTCCTCCTCCGTCACCTCAGCCTCCTCCCCTGCCACCTCATCCTCCGCCTCCGGCTCGCCCGCGTCCTCCTCCGCCTCCTCCGCCGCCGCGCCGCCAGCCTCCGCCGCCCCTCCTCCTAGCAGCGTGCAACCCACGATCCGGTCCATCTTTGGAAACTTGTCGGCAAGGTACTTGGCCGCGTCCGGCCGGTCGGGCTGCATCCGCCCTTGGTCCGGCGCGTCACCTACTCGAACCTCGCCGCGTCGAGACGCCCCCCCCCCCCTCCCTCCTGCCCGTGCGGCTGCTGCGATCCGCACCGTACCCCGAGTAGATTGCTCGCACCACGGGCATCCCGCTCACCACGCGGCCGACGGGAACCTCCCATTGCCTGTGGCCGAGGCCGGGCTGGCTGCCCAGCGTGATGAAGAGGTGGGTGGAGCGAGAGTCCGTCCCGTAGCCCGCGAACGAGAGGATGCCGTCGGTAAACGGCACGCCGGCCGGCCGCGGGTCGTCGCGGATGTTGCCCTGCGACTGCCAGTGCCTCTGCTTCTCCGCGCTCGTCGAGATTCCGAACTGGACGAGAAACTGGCGGAGAGAGTGGCGAGGGTGGGAAATGACTGTGGCTTGTGCGTGGGTGTGTGGGTGTGTGCGTGCCGCCGCGCGCGTCGCGCGCACGTTGGGAAGCATGCGGAAGAAGGGAAGCTGCTCGAAGAAGCCCGACTTCGCCATCCCAAGGACACGCTCCACGCCGGCGGGCGCCCAGTCGGGCCGCAATTCAATCGTGAAGCTGGAGTCGTCGACCTGGACCGTTGTCTTGCAGACGAGGGTCGGGGCAGCGGCGGGGACCGGAGCAGCGGTAGCCGCGACCAGGAACATGGCCATTCGTACAAGTTAGAGGTAAGAAGAAATCGCGCTCCTCAGCGCACAACCCCGGGCCCCGAAATTGGCAGTACTGGTCTGCGAGAGGTTGAGGTGCGAGCCATGGTGCATGGAGGCCCTGGGGATGGGGGGAACCACCCGCGGGCCTAGAACAAGGCCCGCGCGCAGGGGGGTGGGACATTGAGACCGGTCACATAAACGCATAACCCCGGGCCAAACAGTCTTTTCACAGTCTAGGCAGTCTGGCGTAGTCTGTCCCTGTCTGATGCAGTCTGACGCAGTCAGACGGACGATAAAATCGGGCTGACTGTTGGACGGCCAACGGGTCTCCGCACCCATGGCCAACAACGGTCTCCGGCCAACAAAGTCCGACGGCAGCTGCGGCGGCCCTTCGTGTTGGAGAGTCGAGATATTGAGAGTGTGACTAGCGAGGGAGGGACGCTGGGGATTCTCAAAGGTATGTATGTAACTATTGAGAGGATTTGGGTTAGCACGTAGCACCAGCTCGAATCACGACGATCCAAACATCGACGCGACAAACGCCGGGTGGTCGTGCATCCACAGCGCACCCTTGTACGCGCTGAGGGAGAGGAGCAGCAGCAGGAACCAGCCGTTCCACCGCGCCTCGAGGTGCAGCTCAGCGTACTTCTCGACCAGCCAGAGCACGGTGAAGGTGGTCGCCGTGTTGGCGAGGCCGGGCACGCCGCACACCCACCCGCCGGCCGCGCCGAGCAGCAGCGCCGCCATCGTGGCGAGGTTGAGCAGCGCGTAGCGCGTCCTCTTCTCGGCGCGGCGGCCGCGCTCGTAGTAGAGCGACGAGACGATGAGCAGCGCGAGGTAGAGCGTGAGCGCGCCCACCACGCTGAGCGGCGAGTCGAACGGGCCGAGGGCGGCACGGCCTCGCGCCTCGCGCACCGCCAGGTGCGAGGCGAGCAGCAGCGCCGAGGTGGCGCACACGCGCTCGACGGCGCGCTTCGAGTGGAAGCCGACGACCCAGCAGAGGCCGCGGCAGCCCACCGAGAAGCCGAGCGCGCTGTACGCGGCAAAGGTCGCGAGGTAGGCGAGCAGCGGCGAGGCGTGCGCGAGGGCGAGCGGCGTGAGCGTCGCGCACGCCCACGCGCTCACCAGCGAGCAGAGCGCCTCGCGGTCGCCGCCCTTGAGCTTGGCGGCCCACAGGGCGGAGGAGTAGCCGAAGCAGGGCCCAAGCGCGAGCGCGGCCGACGTGGCGGCCACGAACACCGCCGCTTCCGGGTGGAAGACGGCGAACGCGTCGAGAAGCAGCGCGGCCGTGAAGAGCCACGCCGCCGCCTCGAAGACGCCGTAGACGTGCAGCCGGACGCAGAGCGGCTCGATGACGCGGCGGAAGAGCCAGCGCGCGAGGCGGAGCAGCTGCTCGCGCAGCGGCGTGAGCGCGTGCACGAGCGACGGGCCGACCGAGACGGCGATGCCCACAATCGAGAGCAGCCAGACGAGGTTGATGAAGGTGAAGGCGCCGCCCACGCGCGCTATCACGCCGCGTTGGTGCTCCACCTCGTGCAGGCGCGCCTCGACGGCACGCAGTTCATCAAGCGAGAGGGCGGCCCGGCCCACCAGCCCCGCGGCGCGCTTGAGCAGCGGCGGCACCGCCTCCGGCAGCGCTGGCACCGCCGCCGTCCCATTGTCAGAGGCAGCGGCGGCGGCCATGGCGGCCTCCACCCGTTGCGCAAGCCCGCCCAGGACGAAGGCGGCGTGCGGCGAGGCCGGCACGGGTGGAAGCACGCGCGCGAGAGGCGACAGCCCTCCCGGCGCCAGGTCCGCCTGTCCCTTCAGCAGCAGGCCGCCGGAGGCGCGCGCAGGCAGCCACGCTAGCGTCGGGGCGGGGGCGACGCACAGCGCCGAGCAGAGGGCCGTGTACGCGAGCGCCCAGACCCACCAGCGCAGCCAGATGTAGAGCGAGCGCAGCACCGAGCCACGGCGCTGCCGATCCGCCTGCCGGGCCAGCGACGCGGGCACGCCGCCCGGCGCGACGATGGAAGCATCGCCACCCGCGCTGAGCGACGCGCGAATGAGCGAAGCGCGCGTGGGGATCTGCGCGAGCGGCATCGTCCCCGTGCCGTCGCACTCGCACAGCAGCTCGATGAGAAAGACCGGGTCGCCCGCTTCGACGGCCGTGTCCACCAGGCTGAAGAGGGCCGCGTGCGAGAGCTGCTTCGCGCCGAGCGTGAAATCGAGATCGGTCGTCGTTGAGGAGCGCGCGCTCAGCGTGTGCGCGCCGCGGACGTGCGTCAGCCGGAACGGAAGCAGCGTGGGCGCGAGCACTCGGATGGCCGCGCGCTGTCCGGCGAGCGCCGGGCCGACGAGCGTGATGCGGAGAGCGGAGAGCGGCGCGGCCTGTCGCCGGAGGTCGGTGCTGATCTGAACGTGCAGGCCGTGGCCTCTCCGGACGGTACCAGGCGTCGCGGATGCGGAGGTGACGCGCAGAACGGGCTCCATGTGCGTCGTGCCGAGGCGTTGGATGTGGTGCTCGCCTGTGGGACACGTCCACGACACGTCACGGACAGGCCCGGCAGAGTCAACCCCGTGGGACACGGCCCGGCATTTGGGGCCTGGAGCCCTGTTCACGCGCGCGCGAGACGTGCATCTCTCTCGTGAATCTTGTCGTAGCTGGAGGGGATGTCGACCTTAAGCTAATTGGCGTCGCCCTCGGGTTATCCCTTCTCTTTTGATTCCCCATACCATTCGGTAGAAGTCTCTCCCAACTTTCCCGATCATTGCAGCTTATTACCCTCATAAGTCTCTCGTGTCGGCGCCGACGCCCAGGGAGCTCAGAGTTACCCCAAACCGGAGCGAGGGAAGGAGCGATCCCGGGGTGAGCGACTCCAAGCGTAGCGCATAGAGATGCGAGCGGACATCATTGCGTCACACCAGTCCATCCTCGAGTTTGGTTCTGCGCTTTGGGTTTCCCCTAGCTGCGGAACGCCCCCTCTACTCGGAGCTAGTAATACGAGAATACTCTCCGAGGGTTGGCCCCGCGTACCCGAGGCTTCCCCTCAACTGCAGGACGCCCCCTCTACTCGGAGCTAGTGATACCTGATACGAGATACACACCGCCCCACGCAATACCTACACTACTCGACGAGGATACAAGAATACGCAGCTGCGAGACACCTATAAAGAAACAGCGCGGTAAAGTTCGGCGGCTATGATAATCCGAAAGTTGTCGTAGGCTTCGCAGATTTCTTTTCGCGCACAAACCATCTCCCATCTGCTCGCACTCTCGCTCCGGCCGTCTCCCTGACCCTGTAGCTCGGCGCGGATAGTCAGCATGCTCAGCTCGCCAAGCAGCAGCGCTCAGGCCTTTGCCGAAGCGAATATGTTGGTGAGTGGGCCGGCTGGCAGTGCGAATTCAAGCCGGCTGGTACACCTGGGATGCGAGCACCTCCGGCTTCACTAAACGAAGGGCAAGCGACCATCCCGCAAAGCCCGGATGCGTCTCTAACTACGGTTGCGCGTACCCCATTGAAGTGGACGTGGAGGTGTTCAGCCTCATGGCGGCAACTGATCGCGGTATTTACAATCCCATCCGTTGGCTCAGCACCGGGTTCAACGACGATGTTGTTGAACGCCGCGATCTAGGATTAAACCGAGCCCGCAATCTGGTGTACGTTCCTGTGGGACCCTATGTGAGCAATCTGCTCCGCCTCTATGACCCGCGCAACGCTACCGACCGCGCTCTCGCCAGCGTTGGCTACTGCGGTTACGTGCACTGGAAGTTCACAAGCTGCCATTGGTCCTTGCGGGTCGTGCAGGGCGGAGTGGAGAGCATCTATCTCCTGCCAGCGGATGGTCACTCCTACACCGGGACGCATGGCGCAATCAACCTCCCCTCATCGGCAGGCGACATCACCCTTATCCAGCTTTTGGCCACGCCAAGCGCGAATGTCTATGGCCTCCCAGCGCAAGAGGAGGTCCTGGACAGCTGGAACAATTCTGCGCCCGAGCCTCCCTCGCCCGAGCCTCCGTCTCCGCCGCCCCCCATCTCGCCCCCATCGTCGCCGCCCCAGCCACCGCGGTCTCCTGCGCCGCCGCTTCTGCCGCCAGGGCCACCGATAGCGCCTTTGCATCCGGGATTCCAGCTTGACGGGCCAGGCGACCTCCGTTGGGCCTTGCGCCACGAGAACGTGCCGTTTGATGCGGCGACGCAAAGCTTCGCTTTCGATGGCAAGACAAGCTATGTCCAGTACGCAGCCCAGGCGCAGGGTTACGATGACTTCTCAATCTCTCTTGAGTTCCTCACGAATCTGAGTTGCGGATGGTCTAGCGACTGGTGGCCCAACGGGTGTGGTCTGGTAGGCGGGAAGCTCTCCTATTGGAATACAGCCGACTTCGGCGTGGAGCTTCGGCGCCGGCAGGGTTCCATTTTGGCCGTTGGAGGGCACCAACCCTTCCTTAAGTTTCACTGGCCTACGACGATGGGATGTGGCACAGTGTGTGGGCAACTCGCTCCAGCGAGACCGGCAGCCTTCTTCTTGTCGTGGATGGCGTGCAAGTTGCCAGCGGAGTATCAACCACGGGAACCTTGACAAAGGCGCCCTTCATCTATGTCGGGACTATCCACTCTGCAGCCGCGGGCGATGCGGGAGTATACTTGAAGGAGATGCACTTTGAGGGCTCAATCCGCAACGCGCGCCTCGCGCCGTTGCCTCCACTACCTCCCAACTCGCGAAACCGCTAGCATGGGGCGGGGGGGGGGGGGGGGGGGGGCATGCGCTTGCGCTTTTGCGTTTTTGCGGGTGGGGAGGATTTCTTTATTTCTTACAGAAATTTGTGGAGAGGGCAGCGCTGCCAGCGAGCGGAGGCGGCGACCTAGGCATCTCTGTCAGCTCGCTCAGCCATGGGTCGCAAGCCCGGTCGAGGGCCAGGAGCCTCTCCTCCTCCTCCGTCAACGCGTCGTCGGAGGAGCTCTGCTGTGGTCCGAGCCCTCTGCTTCTTTGCGGACCGCCAGGCCGCGGGATGATGCGTGCGTGGTCATGTAGTGGGTCTCGGAAGCTCCCCTCTCGGGCTAGGAGCCAGCCCCTCTCCCTTGCCCTCGGAACACCGCGTCCGAGTCGAGGCGTTTTGTTGTACTCGCAGAATGTGGGTAAACGAAAGTAGCGTATACGCTACTATGAGAATTAAACAAAAGAACGAAGCCGAAAAAACACGCCGGAGTCAGTCCGCCCGAGCCAGCCAGCTGCCGGCTCGCACGGCAGCCTCTTCCTCTCGACCAGCCTCAACTTCCGTACAGTCAGCATTTTGTCGCTGCGTGCTCGTGGCCAGCTGTGGCGGCGGTCGAAGTTCGCCCAGATTCGGTGACGAGCGCCAGACGATAGTAGTGTCTCTGTTCGCCCTGTGCATGTCAGGCCAGGCTGCAGCAGGGCACTACCATCGTGCTGCCCTGTTGCAGCCTGACTTTGCCCACTGTGCACAGTCGCCAGAGCACCACCACCGCCCGGCATCGTGTCACGGCGAGCTCCTTCTGCGCCCGCTCGCGAGGCTCTCGCGCTGGCACACTTTGGCCATCTGCTGCTCGCGTTCGGCGAGCTCATCTCCGCACTCCTGCCACGGTGCCGTCACCACACACCTTCTGGCCGGCCTGAGCCGCGCGGGGTCGCCAGCGGGGGCAACGCGTCGACCTCTCTCTCTGGTGCACCACGGGCCGCAACGGCCTGCTAGCCGCGTGCGCGAGGAGGCAGTGTGCCGGCACAGTCGAGCCGGAGCATCGGGTTCTGGATGCTTGTGGGGTCAAGTCTGACCTTATGCGGCCTAATATGCAATAATAATGCTATGCTCTCACCCAGTCTGTTGAGATATTATCCCTCAAAGTCGAATTTTCGTTTACTGGTGACCATAGTAGTGTCTGTCTTGTTTGCGAGATCTTCAAACGAATCCCTTAAAGTCTCGACAATCACTAAGCTGCTTATGTGGCACCGCAGAGGCTCCCTTGGGGATGCCTGAGGCCACCCCAACCACACACTAAGCCGTACGTAGACGAATTGGGCGCTACTTTTTTCGTTTACCCACATTACGCGAGTAAAATTCTTTTCCTCCTTTTGGTGCCCTCGGCGCGCGCGCTGCCTATCTGAAAGCCGCAGATCCGGTGTATGTGCGACAGTGCCATCAGCTCTGTCAAGAGCCTCTTCGGCGCGAAGGATTCGCGGAAAAATGGCCGAGAGGCCTCGCAGAAAGAGGTGACGGCCGCCACGCCTGGCTCGCTCTGGTTCACTCCGGAGGCCGGCTGGCCAAAGGGAGCCAAGTGGCCCGGGAAGGCGCCGCGCTCGCTGCTGCCGACACGCGAGGAGAGCCCGGAGCTCTTCTTCCTGCCGCCGGCGCTCGGCGAGCTGCGCGTGGAGGTGCTCGAGGCGGAGGGCTTAAAGAAGTCCGACACCTTTTCGGAGAACGACGTCTTTGCGCTGGTCGTCTTCGAGGGCGCCGCGGCGGTCAGCTCGGTGCTCGACAACGCGGCGCACCCGAGGTGGACTCCGCGCCACGCGCGCGCCTTCAAGTTCTCGCCGCGCCGGCCGCACTCGAGACTGTGCGTCGCGCTCTTCGACGAGGACATGGTGGGCGACGACGATCCGCTCGGGCGCGCCGAGATCCCGCTCGCTGCGCTGCACCCGTTGACCGAGTACGATGTCTGGATGCCGCTTCAGAAGGCGCCGCACACACTAGTTTATCTCCGGCTCGCACATCCCGAGTGAGCTAAACGGGTCCGTCGTAAACGGCGTCTCGTGCGTCCGCACTGCGAGCTCCGCGGCACTGGTTGCTGGACACCCCATGGGGCCTTGCCACTGAAGCACGCCCGCTTCTCACGCCCTCTCCACAGCCCTCCTCAGAGCCCTCTCGGTCCCTTCCGACAGGCGCCCTACACGCTGCACATGCGCAAGTACGGCCGCGTCCGACTCCGCTTCTCGATCCAGTGGTACTCCGAGACGGACCGGTTACTGCGCTACCCCGCGGCGCTCTCAGGCTCGGAGCCGCCGCACGTGCTTCCGTTCAAGCAGCGGCGCTGGAGCGAGGCGGCCTCATTCGCTGCGAACGGCCCGCCCCTCGACAAGAACTTCCTAGACACTTCCTAGACACTTCCAAGATGAACTGTCTAGGAAGTGTCTAGGCCCGCCCCTCGACAAGAACTTCAAGATGAGCGTCTGCGTCGCGCGCTTCAACGAGCTGTACGAGGTCGTCGGCGTGACGAGCCTCGCCACGCACGCGCTCAAGTCGCTCGTCTGCTACAGGTCCACCTCTCCCCAGATCTCCCCAGATCTCCCCAGATCTCGCTCGCCCGCCTACCAGCAGGTCTATCTCTCCCCAGATCTCCCCATCTCCCCCAGGGACGGCAACGTGCTCTCGTCGGCGCTGGTGGGCCTACTATGGCAGCTCTGCTGCGTCAAACCGAACCTGCTCCCCTCGTGCGGCCCGCTCCTCCTCCTCGCCATCCTGTCGGTCAAGCACGCGCACTCGCGCGCGTACATGCCCGGTGT